ATATAATTTGTATATTATGATATACAAAATCTTTAATTACCTAAACTACTTTTTTGTATTTCCAGGGTTAATTTGATTTTTCAAAGTTTTTGGAGATTTATGGCTTTAAACATGACTCAACTATTTATAATTTGGTTTCACTTCGGGTTTTACAAAAAAAATATAAATGCAAACCGAATTCGACATTACTCGAACTGAAATTATCCGGAAAATATATGGTTCTTACACGGGTTATAAACACCCAAACGCGAATAACTCGGAAAAATATAAATGCAAACCCAATCTAACATTACTCAAACTAAACCGATCCAAAAAATGTAACGGTACATAAACACCAAACATAAATTACGATAAGACAACAATATAAATTACTTTTAATTATATACGTCAAAACTCAATAGCGACATACAATATATATTTTAATTTACAAATATTCCTACGGAATATCGTTTTTAAAAGATATAAATCCACAATATATATCGACTTTCATATTTTCTGTTTTTTAAAAGCAATTTTTATTTTCTTTTTTAAAAAATAACTTCCATATTTTTCTGTACAAATCGTATAAAAAGGGATACTAGACGAAAAAATGAAACAAAAACTAAACCAGTGCTCACAATATCTAAAAAACTCTTATATAAACCGAAACAAAATTGGAACCAAACTATCCAAAATACAGTTTATATACCCAAAAATATAAATAATATTTAGTTTTAGAATTATCAATACTCTAAAAGCACTACTTATAAACTGAACTACCCACAAAGCAGGTTTTTCCTATTTATTTTTATCCAAAATGTTATAATTATCCTCATTTGCTATAAACATGAATATATTTTGTCAAAAAAATTTAAATTTATTTACTTTATCTGATATTTATACCAAAATCATACTTATATGGTTTTTTATTTGAATTATTCAAAATTATCCAAAAATGGGAACCATAATTGAAATGAACTCAAACATTTATTGGATTCATAACATTGTATTCCGAACCAAACCAAAAACCAAAATAACCAAATTCGAATTCATAATAACTGAATGCTACTTATCTATACTATTAAGATAAAATACCTGTTTTTGAGGTCCCCTTAATTTACTTTAGTATTNACAAATCACAAAACCTATGTTTATGGAATTTAGGAAAGATTTTAATCTATATATGTTGGATTAAACCATAATTCTTTTCGACCATCTATCTGAACCCGGATACTCATGCCTATACATACTTGTGAATAATCTAACAACATCATAAATTTAAAGCAAAAACGGTTGTCCCGCCCTCTATAAGGGCGGGTCAAAATCTAGTAGTTCTTATAATTACAAATTAGTATCAATTTGTGAAATAGAAAGAGTTAGTAAATAACTACATAAAAGAAAAAAACTATGTGCGTTAAAACTTAGGAAACGTTTTGACATCTGACCTTTACTTAATAGGTTTTAAATTATATAGAATCAAACCTATACTAGCGAAAACATAATATGATTCTTTAAGCTATTAATACAAATATTTAAACATTCACGGATAGATGGTAGAAAATCCTAAAAGAAAAGCATGCAAGAACAACATGACTATTAAACTGATAAATCGTACAGATTTTTGTAAGGAAATTCCTCATCGGAGTTGGAAATTTGAGTATACCAATGTGTTGAGTCAATTTGGAGTACACCATAAGACTTACCATTTTGGGAGTATACCATAGAAGTTAAGAACTACCTAGCCGCTAAAGAATGTAAATAGGTACATGGAACAGATGTTCAAAAAAAAAGAATACATGGAACTATGGAAACTGTTTAACTGAAGCAATAACGGTAGTTCCATGTCCATATTACTATTAACAATATGGTTATTATATCATAGTTTATTTACACAAATGTAATTGTTTACTGGGCCAAGTACTAAAAATAAAATCGGGATTAAAGGAGGGTTTAAGAGAACGGAAAACGGGATGGGACCCACGTGACCAACCGGCCCGCAATACAAATCGTGAGACTAATGATAGAGGGCTCGCTCACGCCGGACCAGCAGCCGCCACGTCAGCACATCATTCCGTTTTTCCTTGTGGGTCCCGCGTCCCACTTACACCCGCTTAAACTTGCTGTTATTTTTTTGTCAAAATTTTTCTTTCTATAGCCACAATGATTCACAGTTTTACCAAGGATTAGACTCTGAGCTGAGGGTAACTAAGCTGACTAGATTTACAAACCCGAAAGTAATTGTTTTATTTTCGAGAAACACTCCTCTGCTCTTTTAGCCAAAAAAAAAAAGCACTTCTCTGCTTTTTCTTTTCTTAAAATATGAAAAATAAGAGATGAAATATGGCGTACCAATAAGAACTAAATATTTTATATTCTAAGGGATATAAATGCATGTTCAAAAATTACTATTTAATCAATAGCCAAGACTTTTATTTAAAAGTTTCAAGTTAAGACTTTAGAGAGATTCTCTTTATAAGTTCTTTAATTATGATCACGATAGATAATTAGTTTAAGATCAATCTTTTCATTCAGTTGGTTTAACGAGCACGGAAACGGGTACCTGTCTATGGTTTACTTTTGAAGTTTCCAAAGGGTGAAAATATCCAGGAGTATATATACGGGCATATGTAATAGTATAAACAGAGAGTAATAAGTACTATTCAAAAGTAATTAAAAAAGTACTATTCAACAGTATCATATAAACATATTTTGTAGGTTATTCTTCAAGAAGATTCATACACTTTCACAGTAGTTTTGGTATGCCCCCGCATTTTATTTCGTTGAAATGATTATTATTTTTATATTTTAGGACCATGGTAAATCACAGGATTATAAAAAGTTTCAAAACTAATTATTGAAGAATGTGTAGTTTTGCCAAAGAAAAGGTGTAATTTACGTATAGACCATTTTTCAGGTATGTAAATAAATTGTAAGCAAAGATCCATATTTGTGTGGATGTTCATAAACAATGTATAGTTACATATGAATCAAATCCGAAATGTGTTGGTGTTCTAAATCCATCTCTTTATCATTCAATCACAAGGGTGCATACAAATAAATATTTTTACTATATACATTTTGGTAAAAGAAAAGTTGAATATAGTAAAAAAATACAGTTCGTTTTGTGATGTTTTATGTTTGTCTACCTAAAGAATTGTGGTTACAAATAAATAATTTCACTTGTAATGAAAAAACGATTATAGTTTTTTATTATAGTTTAAAGAGTACCTTTTAGTCCTGAGAACTAAAATTACTGAATCACACTGTAAAGATTTTTTTTTGTCAATTTTACATTACTAATAAATACACTGTTTGAATGAATATATGGTTTTTCAAAATTTGATTGCTCAAAATTCTATTAAAAATAGTGAATAACTTGCAACTTTATATTGGTCCGTATGCTCTATATGAGATCCTTCTATAAACACTGGGACTAGTTGACCTAATCAACCTTCAAATATATTCAAGAGTTTTTGGAATAAGGAAAAAACTATGAAATATGTATATAATAACATAACGTCTTTTTGCATTAATATTTTTGTGCGGTAACGTTTGAATATAATTTCTGGATGTTCATGTAGAGATTTACACAAATATTTTCTCGCAAACCTATACAATCAAACTAGCAATATATCTTCAGGATATAAGATTTTGGACACAAGAATGTGAAACTGAAACCAAGAAAATAAGCTCAATGCGAGGACAAACAAATAAAGAACCTTATTATTTATCAAGCATATCCATCAAGAGCTGGTGGGTGGTAATGGATGTTGCCACCTCTCTCTCTCTCTCTCTCTCTCTCTCTCTCTCTCTCTCTCTCTCTCTCTCTCTCTCTCTCTCTCTCTCTCTCTCTCTCTCTCTCTTACTATATCTTCCTCTCTCATCTTCCCCAAAGCTTTTGCAACAAATAAAGTCTCTCTCTCTCTCTCCCTCTCAGAGAGGAAGAAGGAAAGTTTGATTGATAGGGAAAGAGAGAAAGAAAATAAAATAAAATATAATAGTTACTAGGACACGATTGTCATCTTTTGTTGTGTGCTTGTGTGCGCTCTCCTTCTTTCTTCATCCATTGATCTTCTTTATATAAACTTACTATCTTTCTCCTTTTCCCATTCTTTCTATCATTTCTTCTTTCTCTCTCGGGATCTAAATATCTCTTTTCAGTAACCTATTCCCGAGGAGAACTGTCAAATCTTGTCCATTCTACTTTCAGGGATCCTTCGATCTCTCACTCTATAGTTTTGTGCTGAAGTGTTCAAACTTCTGTAACAACAACATACAATAGCCGAAAACATAAAATTTTGTAGGAGTTGTTGAAAAGGTCTCTGCTGAATTATCTTGTATCTAGAGTTTCTTCAGGTAAAACCCTAATTCTCTGTCAAACTTCCATTCTTATTCCGATCCTCACCTGCCTTCACAAATGATTTTGCTAGTTTTTTTTCCTGTTTAGGTAAAAAAAATCCTTTTTGAATCATCTTTAATCCTTTATCATCATCTTCATCAATCACCTTGATTATCATCATCATATATACTCAGTGTTGCTGATGCTACAAGCAAAGCAACATCTCATATATTGTAATATTCTCAACATTAATTTAATAAATTAACAACTAAGTAGGTTTCTTTTATTAAATAGAAATTTTCATACGATTTTATACGACAATTTAGAAAATCAACCTCATCAAATATTTACAGTTTATTTTCCTCTTCATCTTCTGAACTTTACTTTTTGGTTATACTTACTTGCAATTAAATATCCAAGATGATATTTATACAAATGAAGCAATAGTTAAGCATGAATCTAATGAAATCATTTAAACTATTATCATATGATAAGTGGGAATTGTTCGGCTTGTTTCACTGATTTTAATATTTTGGAAATTTCAATTCTATACCACGAGTCTAAATAAAAATGAATTTAATAGTTCTCGAAGAAAGATATAGTTTTTACCATGTGATTGGTCTTCGTATATCATTATGTAACAAAACTATTTCGTATCATAAGTAAATGTATGACTGTAGTTCTGTCAATCTGAATGTAATTTATCATCTTATAAACTAAGCGTAGACGAACAATCATAATCAAATCGCATAATTATGTAGTATGGCAACTAAGTTTAACATTATATCTTGTGTTCTTAGTTGCATGATTTGTTTTCAATTTGTTTGGTGTTATGTTCTTATAATCAGGTTATTAATTGATCACGAAGAAGAAAGGATGAATTCATTTTCTCATGTTCCTCCGGGTTTTAGATTCCACCCAACAGACGAAGAACTTGTAGACTACTACCTAAGAAAAAAAGTTGCATCAAACAAAATAGAAATTGATTTCATAAAGGACATTGATCTTTACAAGATTGAGCCATGGGATCTTCAAGGTTTGCCAAGTCCCCTAAATTGTATAGCCTTCATTCCTTTATTTTAATTTCCTAAGATTTTTTTTTTTAAAAGTGATTTTATTCTTTTGCGCAAATAGAGTTGTGCAAAATTGGACATGAAGAGCAGAGTGATTGGTACTTCTTTAGCCATAAAGACAAGAAATATCCCACAGGGACTCGAACCAATAGAGCAACAAAAGTAGGGTTTTGGAAAGCCACTGGAAGAGATAAGGCTATATACTTGAGGCATAGTCTTATTGGCATGAGGAAAACACTTGTGTTTTACAAGGGAAGAGCCCCAAATGGACAAAAATCCGATTGGATCATGCATGAATACCGCTTAGAAACCAATGAAAATGGAACCCCTCAGGTACAATATGGACCCAACAAAATCAATTTATCTATTATATATGTTAAATCTCTAATCTCTCCCATTATACGATATATTTGGTTGTAGGAAGAAGGATGGGTCGTGTGTAGGGTTTTCAAGAAGAGATTGGTTGCAGTTAGACGAATGGGAGATTACGATTCATCGCCCTCACATTGGTATAGCGACCAGCTCTCTTTTATGGCCTCTGAGCTCGAGAAAAACGGTCCACGGCGTATCCTCCCCAATCATCATCAGCAGCAGCAGTTTCCATATGGCCTCAATGCATCTGCTTACACTCACAATAATCCTAACTTGCAATGCAAACAAGAGCTAGAGCTACAATACAACCACCTGGTACAACAACATGATCTCTTTCATGAATCCCCTTTATCATTAATCCAACTTCCTCAGCTTGAAAGCCCTAATATCCAACAAGATAGTACTAATAACAACTCTCTTCCTTACGGAACAAGCGACAACGATAATAACTCGAGTGAGATTGCTAACTTGCAGCACTCAAATCTCGCACATGAAGAGCAAATGAATCAAGGTAGTCAGAGTTTCAGCTCTCTATACATGAATAGCGGAAACGAGCAAGGGATGGACCAAGTCACAGACTGGAGAGTTCTTGATAAATTTGTTGCTTCTCAGCTAAGCAACGAGGAGGCCGCCGCAGCTTCTGCCTCTCTACAGAACAATGCCAAGGACACAAGCAACGTGGAGTACCAAGTTGATGAAGAAGAAGATCAGAAAAGGGTTTCAGACATGGGAGAAGAATATGCTGCTTCTACTTCTTCGAGTTGTCATATTGATCTATGGAAGTAAGCAGAAAGAGAAGACTTTATTATGCATATGCATATATACATATATCTATTTACGTACACACGAAGTGTAGATGATGATGATGGTGGTACAGATTTATATTTCCTTTGATTGATTCTTACTACATTACTGAAATTATGTTATATGCATATATACATGGCGTATTTATATATACTTGTACTCGATATGATTGACCATGTATACTCTAATACTCTAATCTAAATGTAACTCCAATATTTTTTTAGTAGACAATTGTCCCTTATTATTTTCGTTTTTATATAATCTTTGAGTTTAATATATACTCACAGAAAGCGAAATTTCAAATGATTTTGTCAGATTCTCACTTTACTATATATATCCACATCTCAATTTGTTCTTTAGAAATGCTCCATATTAACGTTAAAAATCAAGATTCTTGAATTTCATATTCTGGACAATTATGCTTGAATTATGTATTTATTAAACATGTACAATAGTGGCATACACACAATCTACAAGTCATAAGTATATATACCAAATTCAGAATATATTATTCAAATAACATATGTCTGACCACTTACCGAAGTTGTGTTCATGGGAATAATAACTCCAAGGAAGCTTGAAGAATATGTATAACCATAAATAGTGAAAAAGAACATGGAGAAGAGAATGTGGCTTGAAGGAGGTACACAAGTTAAATGACATCTTGCCTCGAAGAAGATTGTGTTATATAGAGTCATGCCGTGGAAAAAGAAGGAAAAACTTTTCTTTGTTTCTTCTAGTCATAAGAAAGAAACTAAAGGTATTCACTTTTTTCTCATGAAGAATTCTATACTTATTGTGTTTGCTTCAAGGTCGGCACAAAAAGAAACCGTAGATTATAATTTACTGCGATAATTTCCCTTATACTTTCACCGTGATTAATGAGTAAGAGTAAAATTTGAGTAAACCTGAATTGATAAACCAAGAACAATTTATAAAATATATTCAAATGAACTTACTCTTCAATATACTTATATACAATAGATATATAGTGACTTGCAACTATATAAACCATTAATCTTTAAACTTCCAACCCAAATCTAATGAGAAGACCAAACCAGATGTTTTTAACCAGGTTGAACCCAAATCTCCAGATTATTTTGATTTGAGTCTAATGCATTCATATTTTAGAATTGTTTGTTTGACGTGAATTATTTCTGTCCGTTCCATAAGATTCTAAGAGCATGATTAACGCACAATCCACATGGAAAGTGCTTTATTTTATTTCGTATAAAAAAAATAAAAAGTTTACTAATCACGTAACGTTATATAGTATAAGACCTGCGAAACATGACAATTTTACTATTTATTTTAGCGTTTTTGACAGTATTACTTTTTATTTCTTTTTTTTTTTGTGGTTTCCCCCTTTCTAAGCGTCTCCCTAAAATCTTGCATTGAAGCTGCTCTAAGATCCTTAGGAAATTTCATCAATTAACAAGACACTCAATATCCCTATGCTGCAAGATATTCCAACGAAAAGTAGCGAGTATTGTCATTTATCGATGTGAAATTATTTCTTAAATTTATGTTTACAGAAATATGAGAAAATTAATTATCGAAAACCCGCATTTATTTTGGTGCAAGGAACATCATCATTTGGCGTGCTCGTTGGGTTTGACAAACACGGTCCAACGGAGAAGCTTGGATATATAAATCCAAAAATTCTAATTATCAGTGACTAAACAAACAAATTAGTAACCCATGCTATATTTTGTTTTGATCTATAGTAATCAACCACCAATGCTGTCTATACATATCAGAAAATCCGAGTAACATTAAGCATAATATGAGACAAAAGCATGTGAAATGTCATCATTAGTGTGGGTTTTACTTTATATATAGGCCACAAATCCCAAGACCATTATAGGTTTTGATTTTTGAATCTAACAAAGTTTGAAGTAATTATGAATCAATTGTTTTTGTCATTATTCAATTGTTCCACAGTGTACTACAAGATTGATTTTCTTGAAATCTCATTTCAAAAATCATATACTCTATCTGCTTTTCGATACATAATATTTTATTTTAATGCACAAAAATTTAAAAACTTACTTTTCTAAAAAATAATTTAAAATTATAATTTTAAAATCATTCAACCAATTACAGAAATAACTATAACATCTAATAGATTACACAATTTTTAATAAAATTAAAATAATATAAAAATATCAAAGCATCATCTATTTTGAAATAACAAAAAATTTCTAGAACATCAATCTAGGAGTATTTGTTAGGTCAATTTTGTTAATCAAAATTCTTAAGATAATGCAAAACATAATTTCATGAGAAATGATATTGATTACGCAACCACTTTTTATTTATTTGTGCCAGTGGGATTTTTCAGTTTTTTTTTTGCTTGGGATTCATGATAAATTTATTTTAAAAATATACTGTTATTCTTCTGTGACAAAATAAAAAAATACTAATTATTCTTTAAACTATTGACAAAGAGTAGGGATTGACACAATGTTAGTACTTAGTATTTTTGGTATACTTAGTATTTTTGGTATACTTAGTACTCAACTTGGTTTGTATAACTATTTTAATTTTGGACCTATATTTGGTTTGTTAAAAACGAGTATTTACAGTTTCAAGTACTTGCGAAAAATGGAAGGATTTGTAAGTTACTTGTCTTGTTTTATTACTTGTTATTTGAATTTTTTTTATAAATTACGTGATAACTATTGGTAAATTATTTAATAATTAGATAAAATTTAAAGATAAATAAATTTATTATATATAAATAATATGTTATTGTTTTCATTTGTCACTGTTTTCATCATTCGTGAAATAGATTATATTAAGAAAGAAAATTTTCTAAAATGTTTATATAATTATATCACGTATGTTTGATTCACATATAAAAATTGAAATATAAACAAGTTGGTTTACTATAATTTAGAAAAATGTATCTTTGTTCTTTAACAAAAACGAATAATAAACTAAACAACACTGAATAATAGTTTTATATTATTAATTTGTATTTGTTTGTATTTGAAGTCAGTTTAAATAGACTACTTGATACATGTCTTAGCCAAAACAAGTATTCGACTTTAAAGATCATGTACCAACCAAATAGTGAACATGAGACAAATAACAAATAATTGTGAACACTCATAAAATATATAAATTTTAATTAATTAATGCAACATATACCAAGTATTTAATAAACTAAGTAATATATGACAAGTCACAAGTAAAGAATAACAAGTAATAAATCAAGTAACAAATTAAGTAGTTAAAAATTAAAATGAACTTGATCCTACTTGTGAGTAATAAAATCCGTTGACTTGTTATTCAATTTGATTGGAGTGAGTACTTGTTTTTTCAAACCAACCGAGTTAAGTATGAGTACAAGTCGAGCTAATAGAGAGTGCGTGCTAGGGGTCAACCTTGGGGGAATATTCACTGGTGAATCAGGATTTCAGATTCTTTGTCCTGCAAAATAAATTTGATCACTGTGTCCTTTTTTTTATCACTGTCTCCTTCTTTCAATGTTCTCTCTATTTTTATTTTCCTGTTATTTACGAATTCAATACTACTAAAAACATCGTACATGCTTATTGTTACACCTCGGTTCCTAGACATTGTGTAGAGAAATTACTCCCCAATAATATGGGTGACATTAACATACGGTTCGAGTAAGAGATACTACATTTTCCAATGCCGGATTCATGTTCTCATTGCCTTACCACAGCAGACTATGCATGTTCTCTAATCTGTTTTTCATTCCTGCTGCGTCCCCTGGAAGCACAGAATGTTCAAACGTCATAAGTTTCAAATCATCCCCACAAGTAAAAAAGACTTTCATGGAAGCTCAATGTTTAAAGCTTGCTTGTCTCTCCAAGCTTTTGAAATTATAGATATTTGTAAATATTACTGAAAGACTTGATCTTATTCATGTGTTTACAAGTGTATATATAATACAATGTTAACCGACTTAGGATCTTTAGGATATATCCTACTAATTACATCATTATCTTAACTTAAATATAACTAACTCTTGTTATTATCCTCTAATACTCCCCCTCAAGTTGGGAATATGAAAGTTTCTTACTCCCAACTTGAACAATAATGCTTCAAACTGATCTCTCCCAAGTGCTTTTGTGAGCACATCCGCCACTTGATCAGTCGTCCGTACATATACCGTCTCTAACGTGCCATCCATAATTGCATCTCTGACCTGATGGCAATCCGATTCTATATGTTTCGTTCTCTCATGAAACACAGGATTAGCAGCTATGTAAATTGCTGACTTGCTATCACAAAACATTTTCGACGGTTGATGCTGTTTGACTCCCAAATCAGCAAGTAACCTCCGGAGCCACTTCACTTCTCTTGTAGCCTGTGCCATGGATCGATACTCAGCCTCAGCCGAAGAATGAGACACCACGCTTTGCTTCTTTGTCTTCCATGACACCGGCGAATCCCCTACTAATGTAACATAAGCACTCAATGATCTTCTCGTCAAAGGACATGCGGACCAGTCCGCATCACAGTACACTGACAACCGCAAATCACTCTTAGAACTCAACATAATTCCTTGTCCAGCGGTTCCTTTGAGATATCTAACTACTCGTAGAGCCGCGTCCCATTGTCCTTCTCTTGGTGTCTTCATGAACTGTGACAATATGTGCACAGGATATGATATGTCTGGTCGGGTAATGGACAAATAAATTAAGCGCCCTACCAATCTTCTATATTTCTCTCCGTCACTCAAGAATGGACTTGTATCAAGTCCCAACTTATGTTGTTGCTCCATAGGCGTAGCAGCTGGCTTGGCTCCAAGCAAACCAACATCCGATATTAAATCCAACGCGTACTTTCTCTGCGTCAACATAAAACCTTCTTCACCACGACCCACTTCAATTCCTAGAAAATACTTTAGTTTTCCTAAGTCTTTCATGCGGAAGCAATCACTCAAGTATTCTTTAAACTTAGTCACAACCTTCATGTCATTCCCACACACAAGCAAATCATCGACGTATATGAGTACTCTTAGCTCGATTCCTTTTCTTGAATAGACAAACAACGAATAATCAGCATACGAATGTTTGAAACCATACTTCTTGAGCGCGTCAGTAAGTTTTGAGAACCAACATCTCGGAGCTTGACGCAAACCATACACCGCCTTATGTAATTTACACACCTTGTTAGGATCAGACGTCTTAAAACCTTGAGGCAGTTTCATGTACACCTCCTCTTTAAGATCTCCATGCAAGAAGGCATTGTGAACATCCATTTGATGCACAATCCACCCTTTTCCTGCCACTACACGTAGTAAGCTCCTCACAGTCGTCATCTTAGCTACTGGTGCAAATGTCTCCTTAAAATCTCTGTCTTTCACTTGCCTATTTCCCAACGCCACCAGACGTGATTTAGGTCTCTCCAAGGTGCCATCAGCATTATACTTATACTTGTACACCCACATATTGCCAATCACTCTCTTCCCGCGTGGTAAATCAGCCACACTGAATGTTCCATTTTCTTCGAAAGCAGCAATCTCTTTTTGCATGGAATCTCGCCATATTTTATGTTGTACTGCTTCTTTGTAACTCCTTGGTTCTTTCCCATTAGTTATTGCTGCCAAAAACGCCTTATGATCTGAAGAAAAACAATCATCAGATATGTAGTTCTCAAGTGGATATGGTGTTTTACCTGGAACCGTCGACGATGACTCTGATTGTGTTGCAGGAGTAGTGAGTGTGCGATGGGGTTCTTCTCTCAAGTTCTGCGCATTATAGGTCACGTAATCATGCAGTTTAACAGAGGGAAACCTTTGTCTGCACCCTCTTCCCATCTCAGACTCTGCTGTGTCATCTTTCTCAGCCGTATCTACTTGATCTGAGCTCTGTTTTTCTGCAGTAATCGACTCTGCTTCAACCACACCAGCCGGTACTTCTACTGCTGTTTCTTTACTACTATTCGCAGGAGATATACTCCCCCTGTTTCCTACCATATTAATTATCCAGTCATCATCGGGGCCTCCAGTTAACTCTGTTGTTTCTGCTACACCGGTCTGAATTTGACTAAATGGGAACACATCTTCCGTAAAACTCACATCCCTTGACACCAAAAACTCGTTACTCTCTATGTCATATACCCTCCATGCCTTTTTTCCAAACGGGTATCCCACAAACACACATTTCCTACTTCTTTCACCAAGTTTATCTTTATTTCGATCTCTCCGATGTACATAGCATAAAGACCCAAATACTCTCAAAGTCTCGTACGCTGGTCTTGTTCCAAACAGTTTCTCATAAGGTGAGCTTCCATTTAACACCTTAGAAGGTGTCATATTAATAACGTGTGTAGCAGTAGTGATGGCTTCTCCCCAAAACTTAACTGGCATTTGAGCTTGAAACAGCAAAGCTCTCGCCACATTCAAGATGTGTCTATGTTTCCTCTCCACACGCCCATTTTGTTGAGGTGTATTGACACAGCTTGTTTGATGTATGATACCTTTATCTTGAAAGAACTCTCTCAAGCACATGAATTCTGTTCCATTGTCACTCCTCACTTTCTCAACCACCAGTTTAAATTGAGTCTCAGCATAAGCACAAAAGCGTTCAAGAACTTTCTTAACCTCTGATTTGGCAAGTAGCAAATGAGTCCAAACAGCTCTTGAAAAATCATCAACAATTGTTAGAAAGTAAACAGCTCCACAAGATGCTGGAACTTTGTAAGGGCCCCATACGTCAACATGAATCAATTCAAAACACCTCTTTGTTTTATTAATACTATCACTGAAAACATCTCTTGTTTGCTTTGCTCTAAAACACACGTCACACGGACTAGAACAAGCTTTANGACCCACTCTCACATCTTTAAAATAATATACCCCATCACGTTCCTCACCGGCTCCAATCAGAGTCTTCGAAGAACGGTCCTGCAAAACACAAATAGCATCAGTAAACACTGCAAAGCAATTCGTATGCCTCAGTAGCTTTGACACAGAGATTAGTGTGCAGTCTAATTTAGGAACAAATAGCACATCTCTGAGTGAGATTCTATTGCTAAGAATCAGATCTCCCATCTTAACCGATGTCGAAGTTCCTCCATCTGCAAAACCTACAACACAAGGTGAGGTGGCCTTCACATTAACAAGCTGTCCTATGTTGCCAGTCATGTGATGTGAAGCCCCAGAGTCTATTATTACATCACCAAAACTCTTACCAGACAACTTCTCAGACTGTCCATTTGATTTTCCTTCATTGATAATCCGAGTAATTGCCCTCCACTGATCAGGAGTTAGATCGGTATTGCCTGACCCATATGAGCTTGTCGCGTGTGCTGTATTGGCAGAAGTACGACCTCCTCCTCTTCCAGAACCACCACGTCCTCTTCCTGATCCTCTACCACGTTTATCATTCATCCATTCGGGATACCCAATGATTTGCCAGCAATTATTTTTCTCGTGTCCTGTCTTTCCACAATTTGAACATATACGATCCCTTGCTCTGTTTCCATAACCAGAACCACTGTTTTCTGATCTTGTACCAAACCCAGGACCATCTCGACTGTCGTTTCCATCTCGTCGTGATCCATACTCTTCTGTCTGTGTCTCTCGTCGAGATACAAACCCCATAGCTTCTTGTGACANTTGCTCTGTTTCCATAACCAGAACCACTGTTTTCTGATCTTGTACCAAACCCAGGACCATCTCGACTGTCGTTTCCATCTCGTCGTGATCCATACTCTTCTGTCTGTGTCTCTCGTCGAGATACAAACCCCATAGCTTCTTGTGACACTGCTTCTCTAGCCTTGGCAGCATTTAAACGAGCTTCTTCTCTTATTACTTTTGCGTACACCTTTCCTAGGTCCGGTAACTCATCAGCCTCTATTATGGCAGTCACTACGTTGCCAAACTTCGAATCATCAAGTCCCATAATGAATTGATGCACTCTTTCATCTTCTCTTTCTTTTTCATATGTTGCAGCCGCTGAACAGCTACACGCCGGTGCTGGTCTATAAGTCTGCAACTCCTCCCACATCACTGCTAACCGACCATAATAGTCGATTACGGCTTGTCCGTTTTGTCGACAAGACGCCAATTGCTCCATCAGTTGGTGAATACGTACTTTATTTCCAACTTCAAACCTTTTCTTCAAATTTTCCCAAAGTTTATTAGCTTCAGTAATAAACGTCACCGTTGATCGGACTCTGGGTTCTATGGATGATCTGATCCATCCTACGATCATCGAATTCACACTTAACCACGACTCCAAATCTGGACTGTCGTCTCCTGGTTTAGGTAAGGTTCCGTCGAGAAACCCTGTTTTCTTCTTTGCCCTAAGAGCATTCAACATCTCCATGGCCCATTCATTATAGTTATCACCCTTCAGCTGCACGGACGTGATCTTCGCACCTGGATTATCCGATGAATACAACGCATACGGTGAGTTCACCATCGTCTCTGCTTTCACCGCAAGTTGAGTTGATTCATCATTATTATCACCCATTGTTAATCACGAGTATTGCTCAACTTCTTTAACCAAAAACGTTGAAAAACTTTTATGCAGATCTCTGCTCTGATACCATGTAAATATTACTGAAAGACTTGATCTTATTCATGTGTTTACAAGCGTATATATAATACAATGTTAACCGACTTAGGATCTTTAGGATATATCCTACTAATTACATCATTATCTTAACTTAAATATAACTAACTCTTGTTATTATCCTCCAATAATATTAAACCTGAATTGCTAAACCAAGAACATAGAGATTTTACGGAAAAAAAAAAGAATATAGAGATGAGCCAGAATTACTCTGTTCTCAAACGCTCTCTGTCAGCCCGAAGGTCCATTTATTCAAATTTCCTCTAAAGGGATTCATGATTTTAATATAAAGAAAAACTTTATTTCACCAAAATTTTAATAAAGATAATGAGAAAATTTTCTCAAGTAACCCCTTCTCTTACATATATGTTGAAACAAATACATCCCCAATGAAATAATCAAACGATTAAATTGAAAAAGAACAGAAAACGATATTTATAAGTTATAACAAGTAAATCTACAAAAATTAATTTGTTGGAGGTGGGTGTATAATCAGGCGCGGGAGAGAGCACGGACAGCTTCCTCAGAGTAAGGATGAATAAAAGCACTGTTCATCTGCCACACGTTAAACGATGCCGTAATAGTCGCATCAATGGCATTGTTGAACAAGAAAAGCTTCGCTGCTCCATAAATGGCTTTTGTTGGATATACCCTTGACGTTATGCATGTTCTTCCGCCTTGTCCGAATGCTTCTACTATCGAATGATCCACCTATTAAAAACGATATTCTCATAAATTTATTCCATCTTGTATTGTCTTAATGAAACTACATATCGAAGTTGTGTTGATTTAAGTAAATTACCAATATTCTCATGGTCAATTTCTCCCCTTTCAGAACCGGTACAGAACTACCGTAAATCGGTTTAACGACATCATTTGCAAAAGATGACCTGTTACAGAAAAAAATTACATTTCATAATGAAATTATATATATTATGGTTAGACAATTATTACTTTATGATAATTTGAAGAAAATAATACCTTGAAGTGTCTGTGCAGAAAAATGTTTTGAGCTTAGAATCTTTTCCCTTAGCCACGTAGAAGTAAACCGGAGTCTGCTCCGACAATCTCTCATCAGCGAGAACCGAGAATCCAAACGGTCCTAAAGCACCACGAACGGTGGAGCCTCCGCTTTTCTGGCAGCTAAATTCCTCAGCCTCAGCTGCTACCGAAGCGTCTCCGAGGATTTTGTCTAGAGATTCTTTCTTGATCTCAAATTCTGCTTCTATATCGAGCTGAGCCGCCGGACCCACATCAACATGTACCAACGATCCGGGACCCACTTCCATATCGAACTTCTTGCTGCTTAACCTAAGAGATTTTACTTCTTCCACTGGCCATTGAACCAAGTTCTTGCCTGTCTTTGTGTCGAGAACAACGGTTCTTGGGATACCCTAATCAACATATAACCAAATTGTTAGTTAACTTGGATTGCAAGTAACCAAATTTTTTGTTACCTTGGATTGCAAGTAACCATAGCAAAACAAAACCTAACTTTCACACAACATACCTGAAGAGAAGACCAGCCTTTTTGTACATCAGCAGATTCACTGTCGGATTCACCAATCCAACTCCACAAGATTCTCCGACCCTTGTTCTGGTCATAAAACGTCTTCGAAGCATAAAACTTTCCGTAATCATATCTTAAACTAGTGCTAATCCCAACGTCGATAGTAGGATCATCCGGGATCCATGTCCCGTTCGAATCAAAATATGTTCCTATGGCATAATGGTCGATCCTCGTGTCGTCCATGCTAGCCTTCACGATGTGCTTCACATCTGGTCCGTTGATCGATGTGTCAAGCCCTTTGACCTTGGTCTTAGACACTGGATAAAAGTCAACGCACTCCCACATCCCGGTGTTTGGAACTTTGTGCAACAATGTGTCTAGTTTCTCGTAAGTCTTGAAGTCAGTAGTGTCGTAGACGAGTGAGATCCCGGTTCTGTTGATCTTGGAACCAATAGTGATCCGCCATTTTCCGGCTGATGTCTTCCATGCAGTTGTTGGGTCACGGAAGTCCTTGGGGAGAATACCCGGTGGAGGTACAAGAACCGGGTTGCCCGGGAACTTGACCCATTTTAGTAGAAGTGGGTCGTTGAGGTCCTCAGGGTAGGCAAGGTTTTGGACCTGAAAAACATTACATTAGCATCATGCATTGATAAAATCACTAAGCCTAATTATCTACATGTTCAGTATCTAACTTGCCAAATATCTGGCGAATTAAACTCATTAACTCTACGGTTAGCCTAACAATCAACAAATAAATACTTCAGAGTAATGTTTGTTATGAATAAGTACTCTCATTTAGTTTCCAACTAGTTATCTCACTATTCTAATTATCGCATTTATTATTCTAAAATCAATTATGAAAAAAAAGTTATGATATGTAGAAGACATCAGCCGGAATAATACCCTGTTAGATTCTGTAAATAAGAGCATTGCGCTTTTGTATATGGAAAAAAATGACCATGTCTAAATATGTTCGTACTATTTGAATTTTTCTTTCCTTGGTGTTATAGGTACGATATATATTTTGATTATGTTCCAATAGTTTAAAACATGAACGTAAACTTGATTTAATCTTTTTGTGATACATACCTGCACAAATTTGTCGGTAGAACCGGTGTAGAGCATGACGATCGAGCCATCTTCGAGGAATGTAGCTGAGCCGGTCCATACACCATTGGCATCGTACCATTGGTCAGCGACCATGGCTAAGGGCAAATGGACCCAATGGATTAGGTCCTTAGACACGGCATGACCCCAAACAATGTCACCCCATACGGCTGCGTTTGGGTTATACTGGTAGAAGAAATGGTACCATCCTTTGTAGAACAATGGACCTGAACAAAGTGCATAACATTTTAATTTATTGGGTCAAAATAAGTATAACTACGAAATGATGGGGATTTCTATTACTAAATGAGAAAGTTGTAGGTATCAAATCGAAATAAAGAATAGTTTAGTATACCCCACTGACTTTATCCAGTTTCAGACAAGATCCAAACTTTGCATTCATAAGGATTTATACAATGAGGATTACTTTTATATGGCAACCAATGATTTGCACGATATCTCTAGCATGTGGATCTCACGTGGGATACAAACTGGCAAAATCTATTTAAACTAAAATATAATAATTTAGCTATTGGTTGTGAGGTAACTCTGTTCTGATTTTCTCTGTGAACTTTTGACTCTTTTGGGTGTAAAGTAAGATATATTTTGTACTGACATTACACCTTGGCTATAACATGGATTGCGTGATATGATGTTCTGTGATCAACTACTTCTTGTCCCTCCAATTATTTCTTATAAACAATTCATAATTTACATCAAGAAAACCATAACTATACCAATATTAAGAGAATCCAATGGAGATTTATTCTTAACAGAAAATAAATGAAAGTGAAATTACCATTAGGATCTGCAGAGAGAAAAGCCCAAGTTTGCCATTGAGCAACACCATAAGGAAACAGAAAACACAGAAATATTAGAACAAGATTAGAGATTAAAAACTGAATTCATATGAACTAGTAACTAGAGTTTAAATCGTTTACAAGTACATATGATTAAACCATGACATGCTGTAAATGAAATTCACTAGATTTAGATGAATCAATCAGTTGGTGAATAGTTTCGAAATTAGAAAATGGTGTCAACCAATTATGGAAAATAATATTCACTTTTTGCCAAAAATGGAAAAGAATATATACATGAACAGAAAGAACGAATATTCATTGAATTTGTAACAAAAAGCAGGGACGACTTTTTTTAAGATAAAATAAAATAAAATAAAATCATTGACAAAAAAAATTAAATAGTAATAGCGTACCGTTCATCCAGTTCTGTTCAGGTTGGAAATGAAACGCCGTTCGTTGCCACGACAACATACTATTGTTCCAAGAGAACGACACCGTATTCCTGTCACCGGTAAGCTTCCACATACCATCATTGCCTTTCTCCGAGACACCAGCGAGACGGGCACGTGACGCTGTTCCATCGCTTTTAACGTCGTTGGATCTAGATCCGTCGTGTGTGGCGATGAGAGCGACGTAGAAGGCGATAAAGAAAAGCCCAAATGAGACGGCGAGGAGACCTTTCACGGGTCTTCTACGGCGATGGGTTTCCGCATTCGGGTCGGATCTTGACACGTCGGATGATAAAGGGTCCTCTTCTCTGGCGGAGATTGGCAAGAGAGGGTCAGAGCTCGCCATGGTGGTGTTTTTTTTCTCGTTTTCGAGTTTCTTTCTTTTTGAGATTTCGATGGCACGAGAAAAGGCAAATGGCTTTATATAAATTAATAATCATACAAGAGAAGAGAAAGATAGATCTATGTCTTCCTGCTTCGCTGGAATGTGTCCAGATGTCAAAAATAGAGAGGTTGGTTTGCATATTTATTACTGTAATATCTCTGTAATAATGACTTGTCTTAATGATTTTTAGAAAATTCATTTTTTATAGTTTAAAGTTTTTTTAAGTAAAGAAATCAAATTTTAATTTTCTTGTTTTCTAATTTCTATATTTCTATTTTAGTTTTTTTTTTTTGACCATTCTACACTGGATTAGTCATGAAACGTAAACAAATAAAAGAACTTCATGAGGCAGACAATTGTATTCGTCATTATCTGTTAATTAAATGGATATATGACAATGATATGAGTTTTATATTGAATTGTCCACGTACTTATACAAATCCATTGATATAAAACGTTGACGAGGAAAAGAAACAAAATCCCCAATATATTATTTGAGAATCATTTAAAAAGTTGTAACCTTAAATTTGTAAGAATTAAAAATAACCTCAATCCTACATGGCATAACTCTTTGGCTTCTATTTCAAATTCTAAAGATTCTAGAGCATATGATATAATATATAGTTTAAAAATTATATCCTCTAGCAATATAATATTCCGTAGGCTATAGTTGATCGCATATATCAAATATTTATTGTTTCGCATGCTTTCCTTCGAAATTACCTTATGCGATCAAAATATATATATGACAATTAATGATTTTAAAAAATAAAGATTTGATAACAATTTGTATACTTTTTTCATTTTGTTTATTTCTTTATTATTAAAATAAATTACACAATCACATTAATCATATAATAAAAATATTGATTTTTTTTTTGTGTATGTTGTATTTCGAATTTTTCAAAATGAGTATAAATTACTAAAACTGTTAAAAGTACCACATAAACTTTTAAGATCAAGGTTTTAATTTTTTTTCTATACTAAAATATAATGATTATAAGACCATATGAAGAAATAATTTTAGTTTATATATATTTAATATCATTTTAGTTTAAACTATAGATCGTATGAAAATACATACTTATATTTTGATATTTGCCTTGAACATATATTGAAAAGTTAATATTTTAATTTTGAAATATGTCATTGTTTTTTTTAAATGATTATAAATTATTGAAACTACTAAACATCTCACAAATAAAAAAAATTGTTGGTGTAAAGTTTTGTTACACAAATATGCAAATAATCATAAAATCATATGAGTAGAAACCTCATTTAATAAATATCCATATTAAAAGTGTGTTATATTACTATGTTTATATCATTTAAATTTAATTATATATCATATAGAATATATAAGATTGATTATTTTGATTTATTTACCCTAATTGTGAATAAACAAGAGTAATAGTTAAATTTATATGCATACGCCAATTTATTACATAATAGTAACTGATTTCTTAGTTATTTAATATATATTTGTTATTTTATTATTTATAATATGCAGAAAATATAAAATATTTATTGTGCATAAAGTGCAGATCTTAACCTAAATATGTATCTCTTTAATTATTTTAAATCTTAAGTATTTTCTAAAACAAACGAAATGAGAAAAAAATTCAAAATAAATATTTATATCGAGTAATAACCAAAATATAAAAAAAAACATAGCAAGAGAAAAATGGAAGATAAATAGGACTGACACGTGAACGTAAACTTCTCATAACCATAATTAATTTTTAAATTGTTAAATCATGATATAAAACTGAGTTAATTTTTAATTTTTTAATTTGTTAATTTTTAATTTTTTTTATATCATTATGGTTATGTTAAATCATGGCCATGATTAATTTTAAATTGTTTATTTGTATTTGAAAAACATAAAATATTGTTTTTAAAAATAATTTAAAATTTTACATAACTTTTTATAAATTATTTTTTAAAAATAATAATTTGTAAAAAATATAATTTTCTAATATTATCAGACAGATAAATAAATAATATTAAATTAGTTTTGAAACTTTATATATTTAAATGCAAATATTTTACCAATTACTTTTTAAAAACCATTAGGGAACTTGCTAATACTCTACCAATCAAGTCCAGTGACACTCCATTTATTTTTCATCATTCGAACACTGAAAAGTGAAAAAATATATGAAATCATATCCATTAAATTCTAAGATTTGATCTATATTTCTAACTAAAATTGTTTATGATCTTACGTATAAATAATTATATAAGAATTTCAAAATTCTTAAATTTCAAATACATACAAAAACAATCATATGTAAATTTTAAATTTATTAATACTAAAATTTTATATTTTAATTACATATATTCACCATGCGCAAGACGCATGTCTTATCCTAGTACTCAACTATTTCGATAAAGATTAGGACAAAGATCTGTAATGGGACAAAAACCCAAAAACAAGTCTACAAGGGACACTTGTGATCTCTAAGGGGACACTTCATGCAAAATTACAGAAATGCCATTAATGAAAAAAGAGTGTGAACTGTTGGATCTGAGGGAGAGGGTTTTAATCTTGGCCATTGATTAATTTTCGAAAATAAAAGAAAATAATGAATAAAAATAATAAAATAAACCCCCCCCCATTAATTCCCTCCCATCTTCATCTTCTTCCTCATTACTCCATCCCAACAAACACGAAAATTCATTACCTTCACCAACCAAAGCTCTCTTCTTCAACCTTTCATCCACGAACCTTTGATTCTGCCTCTTAGGGTTCTTCTACAGCTTAGAACACCTTGAAACAGCAAATGTGCATGGTCCTTGGTCTTGAAATCGCTTGGTAAACGTATACTCTCTCCCTCTCCTTCTCTCTCACTCTTCTCTGCCTCTCTTCCTTTTTTTATTTGTTTTATGTTTCTTTTTAGTTCCATAATATGTATATTACCGTTATAAGTCAGGTTTCAAGGTTTAATATAGTGTTGTTATAGTATGAATCATGACATTGTAGATTAGATCGTTTTTGGCATTGGTATAACTGGTACAACTTTTAAGTGGAAAGTCATTAGCAAAACGGTTACACTAGTAAAACTAACTAGGAGAACAACTAGTACAACTAAGATAACTAGAATTTGTGATATTGGTTATACGAAACGTTTAACTAGTCAACTTGGTACAACTACAGAAAGTAAAACTAGTACAACTCAGGTTCCTAGTATTAGTGATATAGGATTTAGGAAACGTTTAACTAGTCAACCTGGTAAAACTGCAAAAAAATAAAACTAGTACAACTGGAACTTCCTCTTATAACGTTAAACTAGTAAACTTGGTACAACTAGAAGTAACACTGAATAAGGGTATGTAAAACTTGTATAACTCTTAGTAGTCATTTGACAAGTCATACTACGAACTAGTATAACTCGTATAACTTAGAATGATTGTTTCTCGCAAACTAGTCTAACTGGTAATACTAGTTTAACCCGTCTTTTATCGACAGTGGAACCCGTATAACTGATATAATTTGTAAGTTTTAATGTTGGTTTTAACTCTTTTCAGGAACTATGGATGGTAATGGAGCTGTGGTGATACATTTTGATCATGGTGGAGATCAAAATATTTTTACATTAGTGATGAAAGGAAAATATGAGGAGATTACTTATTCTCGCTTGGTTGATAGAATATGCAAGAAAATGAGTATCAATGTAGCTGCGACGAAGCTTCAACTGAGTTACTATCCCCTGGTCATGGATAATAAGAGGCCTAGTTATATTTTGGATGATGAAGATGTTTTAGGATATTTAATGGAGGTGGATAGAAAAAAACCGGCGTAGTGTCTTGCATGTGGAATTTTCCGAAATCATCTCAGAAAACCAGAGTAACGAGCTGTTTTCTATGAACGAGGAAATTCATAGTGATGCCAGAGTTAATGATGGTATGGTTGGAGTTGAGGAGTTGGCAATTGTTCCTCAAAACCAATCAGATGGGTATAATCATGAGGAGTTGGCAATTCTTCCTCCAAGACAGCAAGATAGGTATGAGCATGAGGAATGCAATGAAGAGGATGATGAAATGGATGATAGGGAGGAGTTGCCGGCTGTTACACCATCTGTAGACACAATGGTCAATGTTGAGTGGGATGATGGTATAGATATGAGTTTGAATCAAGAATTTGCGACTAAGGAAGAGCTGAAGAATTTAGTGGACGCAGGAGTGCATTCGAATTGTTTTGAGGTTGATATAGTCAAGTCGAATCGTACTCTTTACATATTGAAATGTCGTGGGTTTGGATGCAGATGGTATTTACGAGCTGCAAGGCTGAAAGACTCTGCCTTTTTCACTGTCAGAACGTATAGAAAGATGCATACGTGTACTCGGGGAGAGGGAAGTGTAACAAGGAGGGGGAAAAGAGGAACACCAAGCTTGGTCGCAGGAGTGGTGCACGAAGATTATCCAGGCCAATACAAGACTCCGGATCCCAAGACTCTCATGAAGTTGGTGAAGCACAAACTAGGTGTCACGGTTTCATATTCTACAGCTTTGAGAGGGAAACACAAAGCTGTCAGTGATTTGCGTGGTGACCCTCAGGAGAGTTTTGCTAAACTTCCTTCTTACTTGTACATGTTAGAAAGAATGAATCCTGGAACCATCACACGATTAGAAGTGGATGAGAATAAACAGTTTAAGTATATGTTCTTTGCGCTCAGAGCTTGCATCGAAGGGTTTCAAGCAATGAGGAAAGTGATAATAATGGATGGAACTCACCTGAAGGGTGTGTATGGAGGAGTGCTTCTCATTGCCACTGCTCAGGATCCAGATCATCATCATTATC